AATCATCTAAGTGAAAAATAATGAAAGCAGGAACATGGCAGTGGGGTTAGAGGAAAGGAGGTAACTAAGAGAGATATTTAAGAGGTAATATCTATAGGACATGATCATGGATTACAGATGAGGATTGAGGGAGAGGGTCAAGTTCGGGAGGGTTATATATTCACTAAGTCATTCGACAAAGGAAGATGGAGCACCTATTTAGTGACTGGCACCATGCTAGTTTCTAGAGACACAGGAGTGAACAAGACATACAAGGTTCCTATTCTCTTGGGATGTACCTTTTGAGGAAGGCAACAATTAATAAGTAAACAAACAAATAAACAAGAGGGGTGAGTTGCTTCATGCCCCTTCATAGTCAGCTTCTCCTTTACTCCAGTCCCTGACAATGCTCCTATAGTTTTACCTTTTCTAGAATGTCATATGCTTGATTGTGATAATGGCTACAAATCTGTTTGTGTTTGATGAAACTCATAGCTGGACACTAAAAAGAGTGAAGTTTATTTTATATAAATCATGTCTCAATAAAACTCACATTTAAAAAAGCTTGTATACCCAAATTTAAAAAAAGAAAAAAAAAAACCAAGAAAAATGGATTAATGAATGAGAATAACTGAGATGGCAGAGGGCTAGGGGCTATTTAAGATATGGAGGTTAGGAAAGCTGTCGCTGAAGAATTGACATTCAGCCCAAGATTTGTGTTTTTCTGTGTTCAGAAAGGAAAAAAAAAAAAAAAGAGACTAGTGTGGCCAGAATAGTTAATAAAAAGAGAGCTGTATAAATTGAGATTAAGAGGCAAGCAGAGTCCATATGGTAAAGAGCATTTTAGGTCACAGTGAGGAGCTTTGGATTTTATTCTAAATGCAATAGGAGGCCGTGGAAGATTTTAAGTGGAGCTGTACCATCTTCTGATTTACTTTTTAAGATGATCCCATCGTGGTTGTTTGGATAATTAATTATAAAGGGGACAAGTGAGGAAGCAGGGAGACCACTTAGGAGACTACAGTAAAAGTCCAAGTGAAAGATGAAGGGGAACCAGATGGCTGTAATGGCAGTGAGGATGGGAATAGGTGGATGGAAGTTAGAAATAAATTGTAGATGGATAAAACGAATAATCCTGGTTAGGATATGGGGATAAGGGGCAGGTAGGAATCCAGAATGATTCTCATTTCTTTGGCTTGAACCAACTGGATGATGATACTGTCACTTACTGGGTTGAAGAATTACTGAGTGAGGACCTATTTTAGGGAGAAAAGTAAGGGGTAGATTAAGACCTTATTTCTGTCATACCCAGTCACAAAGTTTGGGAGATTTTGGAGATTGCCATCTTGATCAGTCTAGAGCAGTCACTTTTACCCTTGAAATAGCTTCTCCCAGATGCTGCCTCTCAACCCATTGCTTCTGGAAGAACTCCAGTAATCTCACATTCCTGGGATTTTTCAAGTTTCTATTCTTGTGACTTGACTAAGGAAAATCCACAAAATTACAAAAATGGCCACAATAATTCATTGCACCCCCAAATGTATGCCTCTTTGAAATGTGTTTTTTTCAATCCTTCTATCAAGAGGTAGAGTTCATTTCTCTACTCCTTGAATCTGTACTTGGCCACGTGATTTGTTTTGGCCAATGGGACCTCAGAAAATGTGGCATAAATAGAAAATTGGAAAGTGTTTGTATGTTGAGGCTTGCCTCTCTCACTGCAAGAAACTCTTCCATCATTCCATGAATGATTTCAGGCTATCTAGGGGATGATGAGAAACTTGAGGTTGTCATCCCAGCTAACATTATGAGTGGACCTTCAGCCTTTGATTTTCCTCTCCTGTCTATGATCATGAGGTCAGGTCCAGGCCCAGGATGATGGCAATGGCCAGAGAAGGACCTTTTGGAGTCCTGATTGGCCTGAGAAACTGGGACGTTCCCTTCAGCAGATAGGTGGAGCATTCCTTGTAACCTACCCTTTGGCTAAAAAATGCAGAGGACCACAGGGGAAGGGAGGGAAAACTGAATAGGAAGAAATCAGAGAGGGAGACAAACCATGAGAGACTCTGGACTCTGGGAAACAAACTGAGGGTTACAGAGGGAGAGGGGTGTGGGGATGGGGTAACCGGGTGATGGGTATTAAGGAGCGCATGTGTTGGGATGAGCACCGGGTGTTACATGCAACTAATGAATCGTTGAACACTACAACAAAAACTTATGATGTACTATATACTGGCTAACTGAACATAATAAAAAAATAAAAGCAACGAGTACATATTTACTTAAATAACGAGAAGGAATTAGAGTGCTGGTTTTGCTTTAAATGAATCAAATCCAAGTGGCATGAAAAGAAGAGAAAAAGGAAGCTAAACCCATTTTCTTATCAGCTGAGCATAAGTGAGCAAACGTGACAGTTGTCTAATGGACCTGAACAGACACAGACATTCAAATGGGCATATTTATAGATGTTTTATTTTTTTGTGACTTAGAATAAAGCTCTGAACTGGAGGAAACATTATGAAGTCCTGAGGAGGCTGTAAGGAAGTCTTGGGAGTAGATGACCTGATTAAGAAGGGAGAAAATCTGGGATCGGAACTCAAAGAAATAATATTTAAGGAGCATGCACAGGAGGGGGACTGAGAAGGCATGTGGTCTAGAAAGGTGAGGAAGAAGCAGGAACCAATAAGAGGCACTGCAGCTAGGAGTGCCCAGTCTGTGCTTGGATTTTTGAGTTTGCATTCCAAATTAACCAATGCCTAGCTCTGTAACCTTGGGCAAGTTTCTTAATCTCTCTTTACTTTAGCTTTCCTAAGTTAAAATGGAGGGGATACCAATATATTTAACTCCTAAGGTTTATTGTGAGGGATAAATATCACAACATGTTTGAGTTTTGGGGACAGTGCTTGGTATATACTACATGCCCAGGAATCATTAACATTACTATTATGACATTCAAAGGAGGTGATGGGTTTCAAAAGAAGGGAAAGGAAAGACAAATGCACTAAGAATGCTCATTTGATTTAATAACTAGGATATCTTGGGAACATTGGCAAGAAAAGTTTTTGCAGAGTCTTAGAGCTCAAAGTAGGCTGTTGAGACTAGAGGCATAAGGAGGAAGTGAGACCACTGGTGATCCAGGTCTGGCTCCCTTGTTGACTGTGTGACTTGGTGCAAGCCACCTAACCTCTCTGGATCAGTTTCCTCTGCTATAAACCAAGAGGAGGAGGAGACTAGATGATCTGTTCTCCATTTTGAAATATTTTTCAGTCAACCAGTGGGAATCCAGATGGTTATTCTGCAGAATGTGGTAGAAATGATTTTTTTTTTTTTTTTTTAGATGGGAGGGTTGAAGACCCGTCAAAGTTTATGGCTTCCCACTTCTTGTTTTCCTTGGTGCTGCTCCTTTCAGAGCCAGACACATACACCAATATGGGTATAAATGCAGACAAGAGTGCATGCACATCTGTGTACACCCACAAACACAAATCATGCTGTCCTGAGACCCATAAGACAAGAGAATACATAAGCAGATTAAGCCACAAACCACAGATTCATCCACCACTTACTAAAAACCTACCATGTTCTGGGTGCTCGGCTAGGTGTTGGGAATACCTATATAATTTATTGGGAAGATTAGGAATTTACCAAAGGACAAGGTAGCTGACTGGTAATGAGATCTATAATACAATCCAACAAATATTTATTAAGTGCTAACGCCTTGGCAACCACTGTGCTGGGTATTGGGGGAGAGCCCTGAGAAAAGGGAGAGTGTAAAATTATTTCTAATAGAGAAGTCTCATAAACTTTGTTTTTTAATGAGGTCTATTGGTTGATAGTCACCAGGTGATCTCAACATGTTACCTGGGAGGTCTGCTGCTGGCCTCAGTCTTGGCAGTAGAGTAAGGGAACTATGGAAAGATGGGGGATGAGACAGAGGAACCACTCACCCAATTTCACTTGGAAGCCACAATTCTCTTTTCAGAACTGAGAGTCAAGCTAGGTGTGCTGGGAAGGTTTCTGTGATTACTACCCCACACCACTCTTCTGTTGGTGCTAATATCAGCCTCAACACAATGCATTGTCGGGAAAAATCTCACCAAGATTGGAGACTCCTGTGTTACAGACCACAGAGGCTTCCTGGAGAAGACTCATTTCTGCTCTTCCCAGGTAGAATACGAAGAGAGGAAATGGCTTCAAAATATCTTAGTTTGTCCAGACATATCTCCTGCCAGTTTGTAGAATCACATTATAGCTGACCACAGGTGAATGAAACTGATTGGGTCTTGCAGGGACAGCTTCCTCTCTGTTTCCCTGAAACTCCCTTGCTCTTTCTTTGCCATATCCAAAGGCTCCAAAGGCTCTCATTCCTCTCCTACTAAAACTTGTGAGAAAACTCTCGGATTCTGACAGGACTCTTTCTGGCCACTTACCCTGATGAAGAAATGCTGGCTCTCACTGGAACCTTAAATACTCTGTACCTTTCTCATCACTTTCTTGCAAAGAACTTGGAGTGGGATTTGCCATCCACCCATCCACTGGTGAAAACCACTTTCCATGGGTTGACAGAAATCTGCATTTGGAGCAATTTCCAGTTGTTTGGCTTTTGAGGGGAAACGGTGCAAATATAAACCCAGGGCTTAGTTCTTGGGAAATTCAGGAGGCGTCTTGCCGAAAGGGTGGGGGAGAAGGACATTTGTCAAAGTGCCTGTGCTGCTGGTCCTCATATAAATGCTCTTTCTCTTTTGTTCCTACTGGACTGTGAAGAATACAACTCAAGCACAAAGCAGAAGAGGCACTGGCAAGTGAATGCAACAATGTTTTCTAATCTGTGTGGATCAAAACCAGGCAAGTTTTGATTCTGTAAAGAGTCTTCCTTAGCATGCTGGATTAATCACATAGATTAATAAAACACAGTTGCCTCTGCTCACCTGTGCCTCCTAGCCTTTGTACTTGCCCTCCCCCTACCCCCTTGCTTTTTTAAATTCTATGGAACTCTGAGGGAACAAAAGGCATATTCTGTTAGTATCCTGGCCATTGGTCCATTGGTTCAACCCGCCTGGAAGGTAGGCTCTCTGAATTTCTCAGTGTGCAGAACTCTTGTTTGAGCCTGTATGGCAACCTCTGTGTCTTGGGGAGAACTCACGGTGTCTTTTGGACCCTACACTTTGCATAGTTTGCTGTGAGTGAAAAGGAACACACTGCGGTTCTTCACCTGTAAACAAGAGCAAAGACTACATTAAAGGCATTTAGTACTTGGTGGAGGATATTAGATAAGGGCTTGCTTAGGGATGTGTATGTTGGTCTCAACTCTATTTAACCTGTTTAGCTTTCATGAGCTCAAGCCTCCCTGTCTTTTGGGATAAGATAAGTCAGCCTATATCTAATTCAACAACAGCTAAAGCTCAATGAATGTGACTATGGTGCCAGACATTATCACTTCACCTGATGTATTCATTTAATCCTCACAGAGACCTTAGGAGATGTATGGTATTATTTCTATTTTCTGAAACAGTAACTGGGACCAGAGATGTCCAGTCTTTGACTCGAGTCCATGCCACTGCTAAGTGGTAGAGCTGAGACAAGGCAGATCCAGCCTTCTCCCAAGTTGTGATCCTAACCATGGTATCTCCTTGCCTAAAGCTGGTTCCTTTCAGCCTTGGTTAATGGTGCCTTCATCCAGTAGATAGATTTCTAGGCTGTGTTTGAATATTTCTTCATGAATTTTGCCTTTTTCAAAATGATAACATAGCAGACAGTTTCCTACTTCCTATTTCCACTGAAATAGGAAATAGTTATTATTCATTAGGTGGAAAACCCTGATGAAACCTAATAGGGAAAACAACAGAGGGAAAATGGATGGAGAATAGAGAACGGCTAGTAATTTGAGAAAAAGCAATGTCTTGAAATGGATGGACATATACAGGCACTTTGGCACCTTGTGCTTATTGTTCAGAGTGCCATTATGATGTGATGCCAGGACTTGGTTTTACTCTTCAGAGTCTATCTCCTATACAGCCCCCTGTTCCCTCATCCTCCCCCCAGAGGGAGAATTCTTTCTTTTTCCTCAGTCCACTTGGTCTCTCCTTCAAATTTATCAGCAAAGAAGAATTCTGCCTTCACCAATTAGCTCCTTGGCTTTTAATATCAGACCAGGGTAATGGTGAGTGAAGAAGCAGGAAAATAGCAAGGACAAGAGAAGAAGAAAAATGATAGTGTGGAGGGGGGCCAAGAGGAAAGGGCAGGGAGCCTGTGGTGCCAGCTGGTGTGAAGGGGGGGGCTTTGGGGGTCTAGGAGTGGGGAAGCATGGTGGGGGGGATATGGGGACAGCTGCTATTTATACAGGAGAGAGAATGAGGGGAGAAAAAGGGCAAGGAAGGGGCAGAATGGGCGGGGGAGAGGGAGAAAAAGAGGAAGAATGTGGGAAAGAGGCTTTCAAGGAATTTGTTGTGCCTATGTATCTAGACTTTCTTCAGTATTTCCGAAATAGACTGAAATTAAGATGCAAATTGATCTTCAAAAATCTTTAGACACCTATTAAATTTATTTTATTGAGACCTCTAGGCACATCTAGGCAAGAAGGGGCCACAGGTGGGCTCCCTTACTTAGGGGTTACCCATCTTAAAAATCTCCAGGTTGTGGACACATGCGCCATCTTTTTCTTGGTCCAACTTGAGCCCCATTGCTAGAATACATGGCCCATGCCAGTTGTTTCTCTTTGCACAGATATGGTGTAGCTGTTTCATCTCTTCACTTTTGATTCAAAATAATATTTGCTGAGTGCCTACTCTGTGCAAACTAGTACCAAACAAGACATGGTTCTTGGCATTTAGAACTGGCTTTCTAGGAGAGGATGCAGAAAATAAGCCACTAAAATATATAAACAACATAATTACAGATTGTGCAAAAAAAACCATAGTAGAAGTAAACTTGGAGCAATTTCCTGCAAAAGTGACAGTTAAATCTGCATCTGAAAAATAAGAAAGACCTAGTTACATGAAGAGCTCTGGGAAGAAAAATATGCTACTAATTTTTAAGGAAACGCCTTGGAAATATATTTTTAGTAAGAGTTCCTCACATCTCTATTTTTTAAAATATCAAAGTCTTCCGAAAGATCAATATAATTTACCCAACCTGAACAAAAGAAAGAAAAGAAGATTCTAGTGGACATGTGGGACAATGACCAAAGTGCTAGCATATTTTGTTTTGTTTTGTTTTGTTTTTTTATTATGTTATGTTAATCACCATACATTACATCATTAGCTTTTGATGTAGTGTTCCATGATTCATTGTTTGCATATAACACCCAGGGCTCCACGCAGAACATGCCCTCTCCAATACCCATCACCAGGCTAACCCATCCTCCCACCCCCCTCCCCTCTAGAACCCTCAGTTTGTTTTTCAGAGTCCATAGTCTCTCATGGTTCATCAGTGCTAGCATTTTTATTGTTGGAGGCCCAGAAAGTGAGGAGAAAGAGTGAGACTGAAGAAGTATTTGGAGGAATAAAGGTTGAAAACATCCTAAATTTGGTGAAAAACAAACCCACACATTTAAGAGGCCGAGAGAATCCCAAATAGATTAAAAAAAATCCACATTAAGACACATCCAAATTAAACTTCTGAAAACTGAAGATATAAAATTGGTATATTCTGTTACCCTTAAATCACTGGTATACATTTTAAAAAGTAAAGATTTATTGTTTTAGGGGCAGGGAAAAAGTGATAACTGGTTGTATCAGTAGGACACAGCAAGAATTATTTGACACAGTTGAAAAGGTTTCACAGAAAATAAGTTAGTGAAAGGGACAATATGCAGAGAGGAGTCTCACCTATCTTGAGAGGAACGACATATTTATCTTTTCTTCTGAGGGAATATTTTAATTTCTCTGTACCTTTTCCTCCCACCATAACATGCAGATAATAATAGGGTCCTGTTTTAGTAGCTACCTTTAATATTTTACAAAATATTCTCCCATCTGTATTTCTATGATGGAAAATTTATACAAAAGGTATATTTTGACTTTTCCTTCATAAACAAGGAATTTAGCAAACTATGCTAACTCCCAGTGCCCCTTAACTTCAAGGTCTTCAGTTATAGAACTTGGAATACTATTTTTAGTAAATCTTTCATTTAATTAATTATGAATACATTGACTTTATTTGAATTATCTAGCTCCTCTTGTATTTGAATCATATTATTTACCACAATCCTTTAAAACCAATCTAGGTGGGATGCTTGGGTGGCTCAGTCGATTGGGCATCTGCCTTTGGCTCAGGTCATGATCTCAAGGTCCTGGGATGGAGTCCTGCACTGGGCTCCTTGCTCTGCGGGGAGCCTACTTCTCCCTCTGCCTGCTCTGCCTGCCACTCCCTCTGCTTGTGCTTTCTCTCTCTCTCTCTGACAAATAAATAAATAAATAAAATCTTTAAAAAAATAAAATAAAACCAATCTATGTGCTTACATTTCTTTTTCTATGTTCACCCCCAGCCTTCTGTTAACTCTTTCATTTTTAATTCTTACTCTTGATTAATTTTTCAGTTTATTAGGGACATTTTCAAGTAAAATGTTAAAGGAGCACATTTACTTGGTTTGTTCTTTTTTATTGCAGAAAGGGTGAGCTTCTTGTTTGTGCTGCGCATGAGTATTCTTTTAAATCCAACCAGCAGAAGACTGCAAAGCCCAGTGTGGGGCTCCCCGCTCTTGAATTAACTCCCCCCATGCTAGTAAGGCAGTCTTCCTGTGTGTGGACATCTTCATGAGCAAACTCTTCATGGAAGCCCTCAGCAGACTTGCCTGCAGGTCTCATTATGTTGAACTAAGTCACATGTCCTCCCCTTGACCAATCACGGTGGATGAAATGAGATTACCATTAATAGGGATTGTCCCCTGAGCTGGAGAGAGGACTACTTCTCGGAGGTGTGGATACCTGAATGAAAGGTGACTTCTGTTTGTAGAGAACTCGGTTTCTACTGCCCCAACAGTGTCTGCTGCATTTTCCTTTCTCTTGATTTTTTTTTTCTTTTGTAATGTTGGTTATTCCATTTAGTCATCCAAAGAAGATCTTGATTTTGCTATCAGACATTTAATTTACTTGGGATTGTTCCTCATCTCACCCTGCTCTGTCTTGTCTCTGCTTACTGATCTTTGCTGGTCTATCCTATTTTCATCTCATCCTGTTCTTTTGCTGGTTTCTGTTCCTGTTCAGTAAGGCTATATCTTCTTTCCATTAAGGATGCCAAGATCTGTTCTTTTTTTGTTCCTGACTCAAAAATCATTTCATCTTTCTTCATCAGCCACTTTTATTTTCCTTCCAAATTCTAAGCTCCTCTCACCAAAAATCTCTTCTACTGTCCAGAGCAAGGGTGCCTCCCTTCCTGTTCATTCCCTATCCTGAGCCCCAGACCATCCAAGCAGCTTTACAACTGGTTCTACCATCTCATCTTTCATCATAAAACTGGAAAAAATGCACAAGTCTTCTAGCCAGTCCTGAAAGTCAGCTTCTGTGTAGCTGTCCATACGATCTTCCAAAACCCTTCACATCATCTCTCTCTTACTCAAGGTCTTTCAGTGGCTTCCGATCACACATTCCTGTTCTTAAAAGATGGTCTGGTTGCTGGACTCTGCCTCTTGCTGGCCAGGAAAACCAGTCTGTATCTATGCTCCCAAGCTCAGTTTTTGAAAATTCCCAAAATAATTGGTTGCAGGAGGTTTTTTGTGAGCCTTCTGGATGATGCATTCTCTCCTTCATTTTGCTGTAACTACATTTCCATTTTATATAGCATTATATGAATTCATATTTTTTCATCTTTGAGTGAGCAGGAGTCTCTCTGGTCCTTGGTGCTTTCTAGAAGACATGATGTACAAGTGGTCATTTGCTTCTGTTCATTATCCACTCAGAAGTTGTCAGAATCTTTTTTAGGCCTACTGTTGAAAAGTAAGGTGATGGTACAGGACTAGACCTGTTCCCAGGTTTAGCTTCCGTTGTAACCCTAACCCCACCTCCACCTAGCACTGCTTTCCCATGAGAAGCTGAGACCTCCCACCTACTGCTTGATTCTCTGGTAC